GCTTTTGTATAATTTAGCATTGAAACTGAGGAATTATCAACAGAAACGCACTGCCGCATAAAGCTCCTGCAGCTTTTCTCCCTTCAAGACCAATCCTCCTCTGCTCTTTTCGTTTTGTTAAGGCAGAAGTACGATTTTCGCAAATTAGAAGCGGCCAAAATGAATTCCAAATGTTTTTGTGAGAAGCCTGAAAACTAAAGAATTATACCAAAAATGGCTGCGGCATGAACTCGTTAGGTCTTTTATTCCCTTGAGCAAACTTTCTCTGCTGTGTTGTTTTTATTGGCAAAAGTAGAATTTCCACAAAGTAGAAGCAGCCAAACAGATGTTCAGCAATTCCCGTGAAATTTAACATTGCAATGATACAAACTGAAACTCAGGCTGATTTTCAGAAACTGTGTCATGTTTTAAGAAGCTTCCAGTAACTGAAAAATTCAGAAATGTAAATTTTTCAAAGCGGCTTTAACTAATTTTCGTAAAGTATCCCCGAACGAAAACGTAGAGCTTTGCATGATAGCAAAGATCGGTGAGTTCATCATCGCTTATGCATGGAGCTCTATCAGTTCTCTTTCATCCTTTGAACGCTTTTGCGCATTCATACGTTAGCTTTTCATTACCTATAGCGATTCATGGAGTTGTTCATTGGATGAAGGAACCTTATGGAATCCTTCTCATGCAATGGCCGCACACACCGACCATCGCAATAATGCGCAACTCTACACTTTGATAATGACTCCCAATACATGAGGTCATTTCTTAGGGTGCCTTCATTACGCGCCGGAAGCCGCCGCTGGCAGCCCGCAGTCCGCTAGCAGCCCGTAGCCGTCGCTGGCTGCTTTTGTCATAGAAGCACAAAATCATCAAATTCTTGCTATTTTAAGCGCAAACGCCGACGCTTTCCATCTTCCACGCTTTTCCCTGTTGCGGCTAACATGCAGTTCCACTTTTACACATTACAGAGTTATTCAAGATAAGTACCGGCCAAGGATATAAATGAAGCAGAACCATGCATAAAAAATAAACACTGCACAAACTGGACGCATCTAAAGTCAGAAGATCACACCGCAAAGGAACTTTGGCGAAATATGGTTCAACTGCGAAAGGGAAACTGAGCACCAATAGAATAACCAATCTACGGCAACAAGATTTCAACAGCAATGGCCACAAGTATGATATATGAGATCGAATTGCGGCAACAGGGAGGAAAAAGCGTGGAAGATGGAAAGCGTGGGCGTTTGCGCTCAAAATAGCAAGAATTTGATGATTTTGCGCCTCTATCTGACAAAAGCGGCCAGCTGCGGCTACGGGCTCCTGGCGGCTAGTGCAGGCTGCTACGGGCTGCCAGCGGCGGCTACCGGCGCGGCATGAAGGCACCCTTATAGCGATACTAAAGCTCGCTGAAGCTTTCTATTAAATAATCTATCAAAAAGGTCCTGCTGTGAAGCCCGTGGCTCTATCCTTCTTTTGAGACCAGCCTCCTTTGCTTTGCTGCTTTTGGGTGCACAAGCATAATTTTCGCGAAGTAGGCGCGGTTAAAGTGGATTTCAAGGATTTTTTTTGTAACTTAGCCTTGAAAACAAGTTGTTCGGAAAACTGTCCTGCTGGACTTCCACTTTCTCAACGATTTTTGGCGAAACGTAAGTATGTAGTCGTAGGAGTAAGATCATGCTCTCAAGCAAACTTTTTACAATGATAACTCTCAAATCATCTACGCTGTTCTTCTGCAAAGCTCCTTTACTTTTCTGCTTTTGAGAGCACAAGAATTTTTGCTTGAAGTGAATTTCAAGGAGGTTTATTTATAACTTAGCCTTGCAACAAAGATCTTAACAAAAATGTCCTGCGGAGTAGCGACCCTACGGGTCGCTAGCAAGTGGGTTGGGGCAGATACGTTGATAAATGTCTGCGTGCAACTCAAAATGGCAAAAAAATGGACTTCCATTTTCTCAACGATTTTTGGCGAAACGTAAGTATGTAGTCGTAGGAGTAAGATCATGCTCTCAAGCAAACTTTTTACAATGATAACTCTCAAATTGTCTACGCTGTTCTTCTGCAAAGCTCCTTTACTTTTCTGCTTTTGAGAGCACAAGAATTCTTGCTTGAAGTGAATTTCGAGGAGGTTTATTTATAACTTAGCCTTGAAAACAAGGATCTTAACAAAAATGTCCTGCCGAGTAGGGACCCTACGGGTCGCTAGCAAGTGGGTTGGGGCAGATACATTGATAACTGTCTGCGTGCACTAAAATAGCAAGAGAATGAATTCCCATTTCCTCAGCGATCTTTTTCGCAATGCAAGCAGTAGCAGAAGAAAGATCAGGCTCATTTCAAGGTTTCATTTCAAAATCATTTCCATTTTCTCAACAATCTTGGCGCAACGTAAGTACGTAGTAGTAGAAGTAAGATTATGCTCTCAAGGAAACTTGTCACAGTGAGTAACTCCCAAAACATTTCGCTGTTCTTCTTTCAAATACCCTACCCACAACTACAGCATTGAACATGAAGATCACCTCAGCAGTCATCTATGTAGAACAGCTGATTTAACCCGAAACTCAGGCTGACACTCAGGAACTGTGCAACGCCCGCTAACATATCGAGCTTCGCGATCATGCACAGTCCTATACTCTCCTTATTACGTCTCGCCAAGGAACGGTCATTTCTTGAAGCGAGACCAAAGTTTGCCCAAAGCTTTTTCTTGGACAATCCTAGCAAAAATGTCCTGTCGCATGAAGCCCCTGGGTATTCAAGAGTGTTTCAGACGAGCTTTTGCATGATTCAGCAGTGAAAGTGAGAAGTCCTTAGCCTAAATGCGCTGCCGCATAAAGTCCCTGAAGCTTTCCTTTCTTCGAGACTTATGCTTCTTAAAGCAGAAGTACGGTTTTCGCAAGACAAAAGCAGCTAAAGTAAATTTCAAGCCATTCTTGTGATATTCAGCACTGAAACCTAGAGAATCATATCAAAAATGTCCTGCCGCATGAACACTAAGCACTAAATCTATTTTTCCATTAAGACAAGCTCCCTCTGCTGTTTTGTTTGTATTGGAAAAAGTAGGGATTTCCCATAGTAGAGGCCGCCAAAAACAAATGCAGCAAGTTTCTTTGAATTTTCACATCAAAATCTAGTTGGAAGAAATGTGTTTTCGAGTGAATTTGTTGGTTCTTTCCTTCCAGCAGACCGAGCTCCCTCTGCTCATTTGTTTTTAGATGCAAGAACAATATCTTTACAATGTAAAAGCATCCAAAAGTAAGTATTTAAAGCTTTTTGAGATTCAGCAATTAATCCTAGAAATTTAGCAAAATGTTCCTAGAAATTTAGAAAAATGTACTACTGCATGAATCTACTGATTCTTTTCTTCCAAAGAAACGTAGCTCTCCGTGTTTTTTTTCTCTATTTCCAGAGGCAAAAGCAATATTTTCAGAAAGTACAAGCATTCAAAAGGTGAGGTTTAGGCGAATCCCCGTAAAACTGATAGGTTTTATTATCTTATTTTCCTAAGCTTCATATTTTTCAAAATCATAATGTGCTCGAAAACTGATGATTGTAAGAAGTTAGGCAGGATAGGAAGCAAAATGGGCGACAGTTTTCCAAATTATGATAGCAACTGGGGGGTCAGACATTTGCGCTAATTCGGTAGTCTGGAATCAATATTTCGTTGCTGTTTGAGCTCTGCACATGACATGCACTTGATCCCTTTGATCCCTTCTTGCTTGTTTATGAGTGAGGAGGTGATCTTTGACGACTGTTGCCCATATTTGCAATTTCCATGCGGAGCAAGCTTTGTAATTTGCACTTAAAGTGCATACAGTCTGGAAACTACAAACGCCGTCAACTGTCTACGTCGCTGTTATGCAAACTATGTGAATCCTCCTTGAGTGCATGGCTTCCCAGTACTCTCTCGGCGTTTCTCTGCACATCCGTGTTAGTTCATGTATCGCAGCTATATTTCGTCGCCGCATAATCTGGAGTGCCCTCGTTGTCGCGAATTTACTGTTAACACTGTAAGAGAACACATAGCACAACGGTAAAGCATGTGGGGGAGGAGAGTACCCTCGTCGCATCGCTTTGACAGTTACCAAAAGATATTATAGTGAAATTTTATTTACTTGTTTTTTTAATGGCACTCAAGACTTCAGTGACAAAAAACGAAAGAAAATCAAAACACAACCAAAACATACATAGGTTCACTTCAATATAAGGCCCATAAATAGAACTGGGCAAGGAATAATTTGTCCATTCTCGCAAATTCCATGTATGAAATGACCGCAATAAAACTGCTCATAACTTCGTCTACAAAGGCCTTTGGCACACATAAAAGACATGTTTGAAGTCAGCATTGTAAACTAAATGAATGGTATGCAACATGGTTCAATCGGCCACTTTGGCTTCTGACCATTCCCTTGTAATCAAACAGATGCACCGACGAGAAAAGGGTAAAAATGCGTTTGGGATGGAAATAGATCATGGAAATACATGCAAGCAGCATTTTTACTTACTACGATGTAGCAGCCGCGGTCTGAGAAAATTTTTTCCATTGAAAGATTGTAAATTTTTTAGTGAAAGGGTGTGGCGGCAAACCACGCATCCTAGAAAACATGGAAACTTGGAAAATCGTAAAAAAATAGAGCGAAAAATTTCGTTCGCAAGGTTTTTGAAAAATGTTTAGGTTTTGTAGCAAAACATGAGCCATTGCACAAATGTTCGACTAAGCTTCTTACAAAAATTTTGCGATCTATTTGGAGTGCGTCTCCTCTCCTCTTAATTTCCCCTTCTTGGTCCGACATGGTGCAGTGATATAAAGACTTCTGAAATTGTGCGCCTTCAAAAAGTGATCTGACAATGATTTTGTAAAAAGTGAAACTGACATTGATTTGTGAGTTACCGTACTGGGAGTCTGATTGTGAGCTAGAAGAATTTTTAAGCACCTGATGCTGCTGCAAATTTCGAGACATGCAGCTTTCACTTGCAGTTATTATGAATCAAGCGGTAGCTATTAAGCCCATAATCACATTATCTCTTAACGTTTATTGACGGTATCAAACTGTATTCAGCATAAAGAGGTCATAAAGTAAAATGGAATCCAGTTTATAGTCTACAACATAGCATGCTTATCTGCCAGTGACACTTAATTTGCTATTATAAAACGGCGCACTGGTCGCGCGTATGTGGATGTTCTTGGTGGGCATGGACAATATATGCCGTCTTTTCCTGGTGCGCCAGCAACTCCCGGACTTCCCTTGGGCCCTGGTGGTCCGGGAGGGCCAGGCCTTCCTGCAGGTCCTGGCGGTCCTGGAGGGCCTGGAAGAGCAGGCCCACCTACGCCAGGCGGTCCCGGAGGTCCAGGAGGACCCATAGGTCCTGCAGGTCCAGCAGGACCAGGTGTACCCTTGACGCGCTGTCCATCCCTGCCTGGTTGTCCTGGTGGACCAGCTGGTCCTGGCGGTCCTCCCGGTCCAGGATCTCCTGCAGGTCCAGGAGGTCCAGGGGGCCCTTGTCCACCCGCTCTTCCTGGAGTTCCTGGGGGTCCAGGAGGTCCAGGCGGGCCTGGACGTCCATCCGGTCCTGGTGGGCCGGGTGGTCCAGGAGGGCATTTGATGCATCCACCAGCTCCACCTCCCATACTAATTTTGATTCCATCATTTCCTCTTTTACCAGGTAAGCCTGCTTTACCAGGTTCCCCATCAGGTCCAGGAGCTCCAGGAGGTCCTGGTGGTCCTTGTGGGCAGTTTAGGGCAGGAGGCCCACAGTTGCAATGTGCTGGCCACTGACGACGGGGACGGGATACTCCGATCACATCACGAAATACAATGGCTCTTCTTTCTCTCGCCTCTTGTGGCGTTGGGCGCATATCCTGCCACGCAGAGTTGGCGTAATTCTGAAAGTTCACGAACTTATGTGCTCTCACTCGTATATAAATCATGGGTACTTTTCCGTTATTCGGACTCATTTTTTCAAAATGTTCCCATAAAATACGTGCTTCAGGCTAGAAATTTTTTATAGATTTTGTGAGGACTTATCTCCTTGCCACGTGTCAAGATAAAAATTAACACGTTTAGGGCCAACTTGACATGTTTTCCAAAATCATTCCCAGTGAGGTACGAGAGGTTTTGAAATGACTGAAAGCTGTTCAGGGATCTTTTGTAAAAGCAAAACAGTTTTGAAAGTTTGTTAAAACACCTTGGTAGTTTCAGCAATGATTTAGAAAAACGATGCTCTTCACATTGTTTCCGCCATGCGAATTCAACCTGGAATGATCATAAATGATGGCATGAATTACCTGGCTGCTAATTGTTTCCTCGTTTAGATGGTAGAACACTAGCTCACTTTTCTGTTTTGGAAAAATCTAATATGTTTATCAAACACAGGTTGTCATTTTCATAATACTTAAACCCATTATTAAAACGTTGACTAAAAATGAGGTTTTTATGATATAGAAAACAGATTGAACTTGCATCAATGGGTAGGCTAAACAAACTCTTGTTAAAACCTGCTATACATGTAGAGACATTTCAGTTTTTTTTTGACACGTGGCAGAAGGGTGACCCTCCATCCTGTAAACACCAAATTTGGTACAAGGAAGGAAGTAATATTCTTTTTTGAAAAAATGGGTCCGGATAATGGAGAAGTATAAAAACATGTACATTGAAATCCGAGAGCTCGCCAATCGCTTCTTCATAAAAATTGTCGATGTCGTTGAATAGGTAAAGTATGGTAATCCCAGAAAAAACTGTACCAATCGCTGTAATCGCTGTCAGACCAGTAGCTATCGTTGTCGTACTTCGGCTGCCTGAAATGAAAATGCGATTGTCAGTTTTTTAGAATAGCTATTTACAATCTTTTCTTACTTGTCAAGTAAAATTTACAAGCGCGTATTTTTTTAGCTACTTCGGTTTCACATCTTGCTGCGACAAATGATTGGTGACAACATGTTTCAAGCGGAATTACCGTTTATTTTGCAAGAATGCTCACACACCTCATAGCCTGTATACTACTACACGTTCCCCAGTCGGAGGGTTAACGTGGAACAGATGGGGCGAAAACGGGAGCAGGACTGTGATCATCGATTATATCTCAACTGCAGGATGTGCGGACAGCATCAAATCGCTAGCGTAACTATACAAACCATTTTTCTCTGAGCGGTTGCACTTTGAAACCGGTATACTTATTGAATATGTTGTGCTCAAGTCAAACCTTCAAAAAACCCATCTTTGTTCCTCCATAGTGGAACCATTCTAGAATATGGCTTTGCTTTATGCGTTGAGAAAGTTAAGAGCATCAAAATATATAAGCATTTGGTTGACTGTTTTTGGTCTTTGCTCATAAACATAGTCGTCCATCGTACATGATACATGAGTATTTGGCAAGTTCTCGATTGACCTTCATTTTTTACAGTGGCTGATACTTTACACGGTTTCCGATAATGTAGTTTGTGAGCGCAAAAGTGGCAAAAACATTTCAAATACTACATGGAGGAAGCAGTACTGCTAAGTAGAGCAAAGTATTCGCAAGACTTTGTTATCATAATTGTATGGTGACTGCTGTGGTGAGAATACTGGTACTGACGAGTAGCCTGGAGTGTGAAGCAAAGTTTTCGCGCTGTCGGCTTATGTATCCGCATTTGAGCCTGTTAGGATGATATACTCACATATAGCATAGGTGTCACAGACGCTCCCGACATTCAGATTACAGACGATCCCCCCCCCCCCCCCCCTTGCGCGAAAGATTCCTCCAGTACGTTTGGACCCGCGAGTTCGAGCACGGTCACATTGCATTAGCTATATGCCTTTAGGCAGTGTTCGGACAAGAGTGAGTCTGTTGGTATCATGTGGAAACGGACGCCATCCACGGCATCGTCCTAGTCGAAGGCTGTTTTACGTTTTAGAGCGAAATATAAGCCTCGAGCTTTTTTCCGTTGTTTTCTCGCTCTCCGAAGTGGATTTTTGGACTCAGCATGGTGCAGGCTGAGCGAAAAAGCTAGAAATTGACCTTTGCTCGGACGGTGATTTTGACAGATCAACTTCGTCTTGTTTTGCACCAGTAAGGTGTGCATTTCGAACAATCTGATGCTAAGTTGAACCGAACAAAATCTATGATCGTATACCGCAGATAAAGTGGTGACAAGCGCTTGAACTCTAAAAAGAAATAAATTCCAAATGACTGTTGGATTCGTCTATAATCCACAGAACACACGTCTAAATCTTGCAAATTTGCCTTTGATGACGCTTTATTTCCTCTTTTGTTAATTTTGCCGGTTCAAATGAAAGGTGGAAAAAGCGTCAATCTTTCAGCTTTGTTGACCTGCGTTCTCCGTTACCAGCCCTGACATGAGATGAGGGGGCAAACACCAAGCTGGAATCGTTTTGGATAAAAGCAAAGGGGATAACGTCATTATACGCTTACATGTACACACACTCTCTCGACAAGTTGCTACACGACTGATATGCAAAAACATGATCTTGCTCTCGCGTCATCTTCAAAAAATTCAAATCGTTTTTTCGTTTCTCGGTCACAACGTACACCTGAGCGAGGTCGTTTTATTCTTAGTACTTCACTCAAGCATATGTGCATAGTAATTTCCGTCTGAGTTTGTTTTGCTCCCTGTATAAGATGGTGATTTTATTGTAGTATCATAATACAGTTTTTGAAACGCACACTGTGATCTTTTTTGTTGAACTAGAAGAAACTGCGGTACTTTTTTTTCAAACTTCAGATTGAAAAGGTCACTGCTGTGCAACTCTAATTTGCCTTCTTCACGGTGGAATGCAGCGTTCATTTAGAAAAAAGGAGAATTCATCTTAGGAAAGGGCCTTCTGAATTTAATCTGTCGTGCACAGTTTTTTGCAACAAAAATACAAACAAACAAATACAAATATTACAAATAAAACATTGTGCGAAACAGAGTTGGGCACTTGTGAAGAATGTGATTCGCAGAACACTTTGTACATTGTCAAGGTAACGGGTTGTTCAAATGTTTCGCCAATTTTTCTTATAAATCAATTAAATACGAGAGTGCAAGAAGCTTAATTGGGATGTTTGCTTAGTGTGCGATGGCGCCACAATAAAACCCAAGAAGAAACAGTTTTATAAAAAGGAAGGTAATCCGTTACGCTAAGGGCTGCGGAAAGGCAATTTTCTAGACATTTCCTAGGTATATAAGCGCAGAACTTGCAGAAGCTTGATCGTGGATTATTTTTTATACCTTTTATTAGGCTGACGCAAAAATAGTGTCCGTTTTGCGAGATTACTCTGATGTGCTATAACTTTTTGAGAATTCTACATTTTCCAGTGAGATAAAGACAAACCTTAAGACAAACCAACCGCAATGCACCGTCCGAAATTATGGAGTTTCTCAGATTTCTGCGTACTGAACAACTAAACAAATTTTGCAAAAACTGCCAACAAAAGGCCTATCCTTACGAGAAATGGGCAAAGCTTCGGCAATTTGTTTTCCCGTAGATTTATAAGGGAATGACCGCAACGGCCACCCATGTTGAGAGCCGATACCTCAGTCTAGGTAATTTTAAAGGCAGCCAAATTTTGAAGAACCGTCGTTCATTCGCATTTGAACTTTGGGCGAAAATATAAATGCAATGGATTTTTAATTTTGGATGTGGTTATTCGAAGCTCTGCAAGTTTTCAATGGATGAGGATGGAAGCCCGCTTTAACCAAATTAAATAGTGCGTGAGAAGTGCTTCAAATAATATGCTGTACTTCTTTCAAACGAGAAAGTTTAATGGAAAGAAGTTGTCTTGAAAAAAAGCTTGGAAACGGCCATTACTTTCGCATCGATGATACATTCGTCGGATAAAGCGACATACGGCTATCACTTTTTCCGGTGTCGTTTTTCCAGGAAATAGCTCATTTATTTCAGGGTTCAAAAACTTGAAGTTTCCACCTGTTTTGATATGCAGTCAGCTCGCTTGTATGAAAAGTGCACCATGGTATACCTGATCAGTAGTCCAAAGTTGTCAGTGCACATAAACAGAACACTAGATTGACAGTCACTCATGAGTGACGATATAATTGAAACAATCTAGCTCTTTTACTGACAAGACTTTCTAAAGAACCTAGTACTTTTCCTCTCCCAATGTACGCTCAAGTTTGATCCGACTCGATCCAACGGGATCTATGGGCCCTTAGTATACCTCGAAATGTAAAATTTCCCGCGAAATTATGATTGCAACGACGTTTATAATTGTAGAAAGGAAGAATTGATGCTTTTATAATAAGGTTAGTGAGCAATCTGACGCAAAGCATTAATGATATAGCTGTTAGAGCGTAAAAATATCTTACAAGGAAAAGAAGTTGGTCGAAGTGGCCTTTTGAAATGAGATGTACACTGCCTTGTAGAGCTTGGAACGCTGATTCCAAATCTACCTTTGCTATCTGCTGCGGGCTTCAGGGCAAGGAGTTATGAAGGTTTTTTGTGAGTAAAAATCTAAATGCAAGAGTAGGCTAAAATCAGTCGCAACATTTTTATAGGGCTTAATTGGTAGTCGGCTCACTCGGTGCAACAAATATTCTTGATTCAAATATACCAATTCGCTGCTACCTCATTTGAACTTTGGGGAAAGGTAACGACTGATTTTACCCTGTTTTTGGATTCAGATTTTTACTCACAAAAACCTTCACAACTCCTCGCCCAGAAGCCCGCAGCAGATAGTAAAGGCAGATTTGGAATCAGCGTTCTAAGCTCTACAAGGCAGTGTACATCTCATTCTAAAAGGCCACTTCGACCAACCTTCCTTGTTAGATAGGAATTTCATTTTGCGAAATCAACCGCGCTTTCTTTTATGCCTTTTTTACTTTGGTATAGAGAGTTTACATGACACTAAAATGATAGGGTTTACTTTTTATGATCTTAGTTACATGATGATAACTCGTGTTTTCATTTCTTCCCAAGGATTTTAGCTTGCCAAATTAAGTCCTTGCAAAAAATTCTTGATTAGCACACTTGGGTCAGACTTCGTGGCGTACGCAGCGTAGTCTGGCCTGAGATTGTGCCAAGACCATGCCCGCAAGAGAATGATAAAAATTTGGCGTGATTATTGAAAGTTTATAACAACTCAGAATAGGATTCACGAATAGAACGTTTTGAGCGTTTTGACTAGAGTTTAGCTCAAAACGCGATTTGATATCATAGACTATTCGAACGGAAAGGATTCATACAGAAGATAGAACATGCAAAGAACAAATCTGAACTACGGTGCGGAAGAAATGTGTGAGTTCCTAAAAGTTGTCAGTAATATGCTGAAATACGTACCTTTGGCTAAAGCAGCCTCGCGGGAGCAGCAAGGGCAACCGGGACACATCTTTGCTGCTGTGCGTTTCAGTGCAGTGCGTGGTACACTCCGTTTATATATGTACGATCGTGGTCACTTTACTGCAACGCAAATCAACTTGTTCAGTACAGTAGCAGTGAATCACTATACAGCTACTTTTTAAGAAATGGCAGAAAAATGAGACATCGTGATGGCGGCAATTTATATGGGCGGCATCTGCAGCGAATAAACTTTTTAGCTGCACTCGCCTTGTGCAAACTTTACGGCTGCCATTCCATATTTATGTCAGGCTTTGTTCTGCAAAATAGATCTAGTCAGGTTCTGTGTTGCGTTGGCAGTGATATTTATCGGTGTCTTATGCTCGATGCAAATTAACACTTTGTCCAGTTTGCTTTCGATCTAGGGAAGGATCCCAAGTAGCAGCGGCGATCTATAGCGGGATGCGCATCATTAGATATGTCTTGTTGAGTGTTACCAAATCTTACTTCGGATTTGCTGAGCGGATATAAACGGATAACAAATAAAAGTTGTGAATGCTTACATATAAAAAATTACTGAATATATAATGCATAACGCGCTTTAGAGTTCAACCAGGTATAGCCTAATTTGCATATGTTGAGTGTGCTGACTAAAAGGAAGAAACACCTGCGAAAAACATAAGTCTTTTTGAACAGCTTACTCTTGGATACCCTAATGTTTGCCATATTTGAACTTTCAGTTCCCAAAGACTCGCTCAGCGAATAAGGAAAGTAGAGGGAATCGGCTCATTAAAGCGCATTCACTGGTTTAAATTCATTCCAAGTCGCCATGGATCTGGGATCCTTTTCGGTAAGATACTTGCGTTTAGTGGAAAGAATTTGTAATTTGGTTATGTAGGCGAAGCCTTCAATACTAGAATAGTATGGATTTGATATGAAACAGTCCCCTCCCGTTACAAATGTGTAATAACAGCGAACAGATTATTGATGCGCCGCAGCAGTTGAGCACTATTAGAACCCCGAATCTACCAGTGGTGTTATCAGCTTTGAATATAAGTGGGGTGTAACGCATTGTTTCTTTGACAATATTTGCCAGTGACTTGAGCTTTTGGATGAAGAAAAAAATTCTATTTCAGGCTTATCGGTAAAGTATTCAAAAGAGTTCAGTTCAAGCTTCTCTTTCTTTATCAATGTAGATAACTATAACTTATGCTGTTTAGAATGTGGGCATTGACAATAAGAAAATTGGACTTTTTTAGATAGCAAAGTTCGGTCAAAATGTAAATGTCCGGCCACTCTGGTCGCATCGTATTGCGTGCGACAACTCCGAAGTTTTCTGTGACTCATACTTGTAAAAAAGAAAAGTTTGATAGGGATGAGCTGTAAATAGGATTGGCTACCTGAGTAAGACCAAAAACTTTGGTTCCAAGTTTAGTGTGAAATGCTAGAATGTATACTTTCTTGGAATTCAAGTCAACTTCACCTTGATTTAGCACGCCAAAAATCAAATATACTTGCCTTTCGCAGGTTATACCCACGAAAACTTTGCCAAATTTTGACGGTGGTATTTTCTATCTTAATTTTAGGTTGTTCGGAAATTGACGCAAGTTCTTTACTCGATTGCGGCTTTGTAAATATAAAAGAAACATAACTCGATAAAGCAAAGCGTACACTACAAGACTGCATTAGAACGATCGCAAAAGGTTTGATTTACAGAAGTTTGCAAACAAAATCAAAAACTCAAACCCCAAAAATCAAAAATTTCCATCCAAAAGGATTTTGCAAACTTCCATCTTGGTCAGGCATAAACTGTTCACGTCAAACATTCAAATGTAATATTGCGATATATACAGAGTGTCCCAAAAAAAATGTGAACACTATTTGATCCTTAATAACTCCGTTGCTTTCATGTCTTTCGCCGACCTTGGGGCACCATTCTGTAGAGTGAGGTTCAACTTAGATTTGTGGTGTGGAGCGAATCACCGATCGCTCTTCGTTACTGTAGGATTACGGTATGAACTTCTGGCATGTGGATCTACTGTGAAATATGCCATTTGACAAATTTTTTTTCCAAAAAATCTGAAAAATTGTGTAATAGGGTTTTCGCGCACGCTGATTCCATAACACAATTTTTTACGAGTGTTTTTAGCTTTTTTGACGGTGTAATCACATTTTTGACAAATGCTGGAAATTCGGTCATTTAGGTTTACCTGGGATAACCTTGGAAAGAAGCGTCACAGTGAAGTGGGAATTTCGTATTCGAACTCAGCGGCTTCCATTACCCATGTATAAAAGTTTTTGGCTTGTTTAGTTTTGTTCCGAGGCAGAACATGGCTGTCAACGGCTCAAAATCTTCGTCAAAATTCCTACCGTAATCTTACAGTAATGAAGAGAGATCGACGATTCGCTCCATACTACAGATTTAAGTTAGACCTCGCTCTATAAAATGATGCCTCAAGCTCGGCGAAAGACATAAAAGCAAGGGAGTTATTGACGATCAAACAGTGTTCACATTTTTTTGGGACACCCTGTATATTAGGTTGTCCGGAAATTAATGCAGGTTTTGCATATTCTCACTTCAAAGCATCATAACTCCTTTAAAATCGCATGTTTTAAAATGAAGTAAAAACTATTGTAATCAGCAAGTCTTTCTCTATTTGTGCCATTTTCTTTTGTAGCTGTAGCTCCAACAAGCAAATTACTGAAAGCCAGAAAGTAAAAAGAAATTTTTTTAACAAGGTCATACTTGGCAAGTTGTAAACTCCTACCGAACATGAGCGTTCAGCCAGAAACTTCTGTAGCTTATAGCCACAGACCAGTACTACATATGAAGCTATGCAAGAAAATTTCTAGAAATTTTCTGCAAAAGAAAAATTTGCGGAATCAAAATTTTCCATTTTTTTGATACTTTCTCCACGGCTCCGATCTCCGATAATTTTGATTTTTTTCAATAACTCACCAAAAATAAAGCCTGGGAGGTACCAGTTGAGATGATATCGGACGGCACTGGCCTCACTCTTCAAGCGCGATGAGAGACCTTCACGGTTGGTTTTTTAGAAAAGTTTTCTACCCCATGGAGTCGCCGCGACAATTACTCATGTTAAAGCCTCAGTTTCTCTACTCTCACAATCGTTCTAAAAAAGCGCTACCATTTATCTTGTAGATTCACTCAATATCTTGCTTTAGCTATATTATCATGGAAATATCCCTCTTGCTGAATAAGTTCAAGCCAAAATAGTGCAAAGGGTAAATTCAGTAATTCAAAGCTTCATCTTCGGATGGTTGTAGATTTTAAACAAATGAAGTTGGTCGTAGAAGTAGTACATATGAGAGAGAGCATGAAGGGCGGGTTCTTTTAGTATGCGAAATTAGTCGAAAGATGCACATACACAGAAGAATGATCTTTTTGAAATTGCATTTGCAGAAACCTGCATTAATTTCCGGACAACCTAATACCACTGTTAGAAGCTGAGAAAAAAGTGAAAGTTGGCATGCCGTAGCAAATGCCAAATGTAACGCTGAGCCATTCTGAGATAGATAGCTCTATACTACAAATTCTTGAAAGTACAAGCATAGATTTTGAGCTTCCTTCACGGCCTCCAAGAAATCTCGAATTTAGCGTGAAAACCCGAAAAAGGATTTTCAACCGTAAAAAATGCTGTAAATCTTATATATAAAGCCGAATGTCTGTTTGTCTGTCTGTATGTCTGTCTGTCTGTATGTCTGTCTGTACGTATGTTCCGAATAGAAAATTCCATTTCTGAACCGATCCGGACCAAACTTGGCACACATACACTACGGGCCCCGGCGGGTGTCATAGGCTACTTTTCGTCATCGATCGATATCGATTTTATCGATTTTTTGCAAAATTTGAGCTACGGGGCTGGGAGTTGGCACAGGGGGGTAAGTGAGCATGGGGATTCCGAATACAATATTAGTTTTCAAAATCGTGCATTACTTTTATCGATTTTATCGATTTTTTTGCAAAATTTGAGCTACGGGGCTGGGATTTGGCACAGGGGGGTAATCGAGCATGCTGATCACCCCCGTGGGGGGTGATCAGCATGCTCGATGCACGATTTCGAAAACTAATATTGTATTCGGAATCAGCATGCTCGATTACCCCCCTGTGCCAAATCCCAGCCCCCTAGCTCAAATTTTGCATAAAATCGATAAAATCGACATCAATCGATAACGAAAAGTGGACTGTGACACCCGCCGGGGCCCGAAGTGTATGTGTGCCAAGTTTGGTTCGGATCGGTTAAGAAATGGAATTTTCTATTCGGAACATACGGCGGAGCCGGGTATGCCAGCTAGTATGTATATGAATGTTTCATGTAGGGAGCATATGCGTTGCTTCACTCTACCAAATGATATGCTTCCTACATTTTTATATATTAGCAGTGCCGCGATCGCGAAGGAACCTGCATTGAGCATGCTTTGGAGTATTGCACAGTGATTCCAATTCTGCTTTCATTGTCTGCCGAGCGCCTCTGGGCGCCTAGTTATCGGCGTTTTTCGAATCAGAAAACTGAACGCAAAACTGGAGCGAAATCGCCCAGATTTGCTCAAGTGACATTCCTTTATCTTAGCGCTGGAAAGATTGTAACAATTGTCCCTATCTAAATTTTGCATGCAATTTTCATTCCAAAAAATGACCATAACTCAGCGTCGAGAGGGGCTTGGCAGATAATGAAGGCAGATTTGGAGCCATCGTATGCCTTTCAAAGTGGTATGAGTCTCGTTCAAAGATGCCACTTCGACTAAACACGCTTCCCTTGTAAACTCTTTATATGATAACTTTGCTTTACTCTGATTTTCTTGAAGAAGAAACCGCTGGTTTTGCAGAACGGCTTCTTCAAAAGAAATTTTTGAAGACATATGAAGAGCAGTTTAAGCGCAAATTTTTTGCAGCTTGGTCACATAACTCGGTGACCTTGCAAAAAAATCCGGAACGGTTGGTAATATATGTTTATACTCTATCTTTCCAATGAGCAAATTAATGCTGATCTTGAATTTTTCAGTTTGCAATAGCAAACGGAAGCGGTCAATTTCTTCGGGGACAACTTTCATATCAGCTTTCAT